AAAAAAAAACAAGATCCAGGCACTGGATAGAAAGTGGTCGAATATGGAAGATTTACTGCTGAGTGAAGCAAGCCAGCTATGAAAGAAAGATATTGTGTGTATCCAGTTAATATATACCAACTATCTGCACTCTGGTAGAGATGGAAATATTGGAGGGCATAAAAGCAGTGAAAATAGTTATGGATCCTGAAGACAGTGTGGAACAGGGGATGGAGGGAGAAGGGAAGAGTATAGAGAAGAAAATCAGGAGAAGTAATAGGTATGACATTTGTGGGACACAGAAATGGTTTATTATCTGTTAATGATAACATGTACAGTATTCTCAAGCGGACTGGTCTGAGAAGCATTTCATTTTGGGTAAATTATCTTTAACAAATAAAATGATGTATAGCAATCGAATGTTTAAAAAACTCATAAAATGTATATCTAAAAAAATCTGAGAAAAATTGGAAAGCTGTTTGCTGATGAGGATGTATATAGTAATGTTTTTTATTTGTTATTTTTTATTTTTAAATAACATGCATTTTTAAGCTTGTTTTAAATTATATTAATATGTGCTTGTGAAAAATAAAAATTAAATAGTAATATTTTTGTCTTGACTGACATGCATGATAATCATGCTGGAAAAAGAAATGTTATACACTGTAAACATATATTTGATTAAATGTAATATAAAAAATAATAATAATGAAAAAAAGAAATTGGGGACTGGCCACACTATAACCCCTTCTCCTCCATTCTCTTGGGATTTTAGACACGCACGCACACACACACACACACACACACACACACACACACACACACAAGCCCAGCGTGATTTTCAAGATGCCAGGTCTGGGACTCAAACCATAATCCACCATGTGCAAGTCCAGCTCCTTAATAACTACAGCACCTGCTGGCCCCATAATAATATTTTTAAAGAGTAAATAAGCCTCATCTCAAAATCTTCTAGTGGCTTTTCATAACCCTCAGAATAAAAGCCAAAGTCCTTGCATGCCCATAGGCCTTTCTACCTATCTCTGGGCTTCTAGCCTGTCTCTTCATCCTCACTATTTTTTTTCACTCTCTCCTTTTCTCTCTGCTCTTTAAATACAGCAACGAAGCTTTCTCCTAACCTGGGACCTGGGCTTGATATCTCCCTGGCTTGCGTGCTTGCTTCAGGCCTTTGTGTGGCTTTGCTCCTTCATTTCATTCAGGTTTCTGCTCAGATGGCATTCCTTCATAGAGACCTTCTTTATCACCCCCTAAAGTAAACATCTTCCTAATTTAACCCTTCCATAAGCAGTCTCTATTCCTTTATCGCCCTTTATTTTTCTTCATAAAACCCATCACCTACCAGATACTATATTATTTTTTTATTTATTTCCTTGTCTTTCATCTATTGTTCTCACTAGAATAGTAAGTTACATAAGGGTAGAGACTTTGGATTGGTGGTGGTGGAAGATAACCACACAATAAATACTTATAGAATGAGTAAATGAATTGTGCCTTACATGAGGATGCAAAGATTGATGATGCATGAAGTTTTCCATAAGGAGTTGATGCTATAGTTGGAGAGGAGGACCATTATTAAACAATGTAGTGTGATAGATGTCCACAATAGAACAGCAATAGAGCACATTCAGAAAAGAGTAGTAAGAGAAGAAGGGGAGATGAACTGGAAGGATCTGGGCCCTCACAGATACGCAAGGCAGGAGGGAGTGGGAAGGGAGATTGTACACCAGGCATTGAAACTAGAGGCAGAAATGTAGTTAAAAGTATGATAAAATGAATCAGATTGTTTTCTGAACATTCAGGATTTTATTACTGGAATGCAAGATGAAAGGAATTGAGTAGATATGTGGCTACAGATGAAAAAATGATATAGGTCAGAGAAACAATGTGGTCTATCATGCTAAGAAAAATGATTGTAGTAGTCTACTGTATTCATCTGTTGACTATGAAATATTCATAATTCATAATATTTAGCAAGTAAAATTTGTAATTAGTTTGATTACCATCCTAGCTGAGGGTTTCAAGCCTTTTTGAACATCTTGTTAAGTATATTTGTAAGTTGTGATGGCAATCGTTCTATATTTTAAAGTAGAATGAGTCTAACATAATTTAATTATCTCTATATTATAAATTATGTTTTAAATTATATATGCATTGGTAAGTGCTGGCAAGGCTGTGGTGAAAAGGGAACTCTTTTATACTGTTGGTGGGCCTGTAAATTGTGAATTATGGAGATGAATATGGAGGTTTGGCAACGATCTACAAATAGAACTATCATATGATCCAGCAATTGCACTCCTGGTATCTACCCAAAGGATAGGAAAACACTCAGAAAAGCACTTGCATATCTATGTTTATGCATATCTATGTTTATTGCAGCATTATTCATGATTGCTAAGACATGGAACCAACCCAAATGTCCATGAACAGATGAATAGATTGAAAAAGTGTGGTACATATACTCTATGAAATACCAGTCAAACATAAAAAAAAAACAAGACCCTGTCATTTCATAGAAAGTAGATAACTATGGAAGATTTACTTCTGAACGAAGCAAGTCAGTCTATGAAAGAGAGACGCTGTATGTCTCCAGTTAATATATGCCGACTGTCTGCACTCTGTGGCAGAAACTGAACGACCAGGGTATATAAAGGCATGGGAAATGGTTATGGATATTGGAGACTGTGTGCAAAGAAGGTGGGAGATGGGGGAGAGTGAGAGGAAAAGAATCAAGGAGAAAAATAAAGAGGCAAGACATTTGAGAGATACAGAAATGGAGGATTGTCTGTTGATGATAATGTGTATGATATCTCCAGCTGGACTGGGGTGTAGTATATTCATCTTGGGTAATTCAGAAGTTGTAATAATGTACAGTGATTGAATGTATAAAATAAAATAATAAAAAATTATATATGCATTTTTAAATACCAGTCTTTGCTTAATTACTATTTCATTCTGAACTCATGAAGATATTTGAGATCAATCCCTCTAAGTACGCTTCTTCAAATGCTATTAAGTAGTTTTTTGCGTTATTGTCCTAAGTGTCTGGTGTTGCTCTCCAGAAAACTTTTCAATTCAAAACCAAAACCTAGGGGGTGAATGAAATCATGTTTCTAATATACCTTGCTTCTTTTTTTATGTTTTTGTGTAAGGTGTGTGCACTCACAGGAGAAAGACAGAGACAGACAATGAGAGGGAAAGTGATAAATCATCCCTCCCCCCACACAGCGGGGGATGGCCACATCACAACCCCTTTTCCCCTTTCTCCTCCTGGGATTTTGGGCACACATGCACACGTGCCCAGCATGATTTTCAAGCCACCAGGTCCTGGACTAAAACTGAGCTTGGCTGTGTAGGAGTTCAGTTTCTTAACTGCTACACCACCTGCAGGTCCCTACCTTGCTTCTTAAAAGAGCAAAATTTTTGAAAAATTACCAAATCGTGTCATTCTTTCACAGCTATAAGTAAACAAGAATACACCTGCTGCTTTACACTATAGATGTGAAATTAATTTTACTTAAAAAAAAAAAAAGGGAACCAGCAGTTAGTATAATGGCTATGTCGCTGGACTCCTACGTAGTAGACCGCGGTTCGCGTCCCAGACCCAGTGGCTTAAAACTCACGCCGGGCGCGTGTGCATGCGTGCCCAAGATCCAGAGAGGAGAATGGAGGAGAAGGGATTGCGGCGTGACCATCCCCTCTGGGGAGTGATTTCTTGCTTTCTCTCTCTATGTCTCTCTCTGTCTGTCTGGTGAGCGCACGTGCCCTATAGCAAAACCCTCTCAAAATACAAACAAACAAACAAACAAAGCCCCAACTAACAACAACAAAAACAACCACAAGCTTCCACTTCCCCAAACCACAACAGAGAATTTGTGTTCACTTTCATTTCAGGTTATTGTTTAAAAGGTACCTTTAACCATAGCCTTGCAGGATTATATGAATAAAAAGGATTGTTGGGCTATTAAAAAATAATGTGCTATTTTCAAAACACACAATGGCTCACAGAAACTAGAAAGACAGCTCTTTGAAGATTGTCAGCACGGTTTTCTTTCTACTTACCCTACTTCTTTCATATTCTTTCCTTGAGGCAGCAAAGAGCTGAGCATTAGAGATGGCAATTCCACAGAATGGAAGATACATCTGCATAACCTGAGGCAAAGAGGTTGAAAGCATTAGAAGAGAAGAACACTAGAACACCAGAGGCTGAACTAATTTCGACATGTCCTGCATATGCCTGACTGGAACACTATCTTTTCAACCATAGGGATTGAGTATGGAGTTGTTGATACTAGTGTTTTGACTTTAGAAGGAATATTTTTCAGAGTTAACCATGAGATAGTGTAAATCAAGCTTTACCAGCAGAATTAATGTCTTTGAAGATATTAAGTAAAGCCACAGATTATGACAGCAATGATACAGGAACTGTCTAGAGCCCTATATTTCTTCTTAGATTCCAAAAGAGTGAATAAGCAATTTATCTGTGATCTCTCTTGAAATCAATGCTTGTATTCACATTCACATGTGGACGTGGGCAGGATATAAGAGAATTCCTTTGTATGTATGTGCCTGGGTCAGGAATCACCGGGACCCTAGATTTGTCAGGTACTAGGTTTAAGCATTCTTGTTGAGATGAGTCCAGAGGAAACTTAGAGACCAGAGGACTTGGTAACCTGCAAAAAGCTTTAACTGTGTTTACTGCTTTGTGACATAATGGGACACAAATACAAACTGGTGGAATGGTTCTAGAGAAGCTGTTGCAGGAAAGGCTGGGAAGTCTATGAGAGAGAACTCTTCTATGGGAACACACACCCAGCTGGGATGGGGCTGGCCATAACAAAGACTTTCTCATGGCAAGAGTCTTAGATCTAGGGGTTTTCAGTACTGCCTGCGACTCACTCAAATTCATCTCCAGAATCTGATTCGAGAGAGAGAGAGCGTTAACAAGTAGAAACTGTAAAAACGATTTCATTAAACTTTTCACAGCATGGAAGAAAAAAGTGACGTTGCTTTGGGGACTTCTCTAAAGCAAAAGGGAAAAGGCATGTTTTATATCAGTTGCTCTGTGTCTCTGTCTCTCTCCCTCTTACGCAGGGACACCACTACAGTGCCTTATGAAGAGGTGCAGAGCATCAATAGGGACCAGTTCCTGCCATGCCCAGCGGAGGGCAGCGCAGTGCTCACTGTGAGCAGGACCACAGACCACCATCCCAGGTGCACATGTGAGACACCTCTGGGACACCTGGGACAGAATTACCTGGAGTGAAAGGCGATTTTGCAGAGGACTTGAGGAAGACAAAAGAGAAAGAGCTATTCTCATTCCTTATTATTTCTATTTCATTAAAATCTTGTTTCAGCTACCCGAGCATGCTCAAATTCATCCTAGAGTCCCTGAAAGAATTTCAGAGCCCGATAAAAGCCAAAGCTATGATTATACTTAAAAAAGAGTGAAACGATAGGATCAGTGTTAGGAAGAGGTTCAAAAATCATTGAGTTGAGTATTTTAGGTCTTTTTAGGATAAATTTCTTCCCTGAATTTTCGCACTGCCTTGTAGGATTAGGTGTTACTTGTTAACCACTCTTTCACTCCTACTTACTTCCCTCCTCCTTACTGCTCCCCTCAGACCTTAGTCATTTTGTCCATAAAGTCACTGACAGTGTAAAGTTATTGACACAAAGCTGCCAGATATTCCACCACAATTTATCTGACATTAGCCAGAGTAAGGCCACTTTCAACCTCACCTACATACTCAAAAAGTACTTTTTTTGCAGTTTTTTTGGATTTTTTTTCTCCCATGGAGATAATGACTATGATGGCGATAAAGAAGAGGAGCTATGGGCTACTTATTTTAACTTTTCACTATTTATCTTTTTATTTAATTTGTCTATTTTTTTTACCCCCAAGGGCCAAGTTTATGGTGATTTGTAAGTCAAACTAAGAAGAGAGTAACCAAATAATGATATGAAATGCTTTCCAATATATCATAGGCTTGCGTTACTTCATTTTTAATATCTCCTCCATTCTTCTCTTAGGATTCTGGGCACACATGCACATGCACCCTGCATAAGGTTTAAGCTTCCAGGTCCTGGACTTGAACCGTGGTCTACTACATGCAAGTCAAGCGACATAACTATTATGGCAACTGCTGGTTCTGGGCTTTTTATACTTGGCATTCCTCTCCTGTAATGCAGCCAGAGTTTAGGAATCAACACAAATGCTGATACTGGGACTATAGCTATCGCTGTGAATAATACACTGTCCTTTGTCACTGATCTAAGAGTTCCATGTCTTCTGATGTCTTCTACCATCATCTATGATTCTACGACAGACTACCTTGCTAGTTCTTCACATGAGCTCAAGCTAGAGAGTAAGTGGTGAAGCTGGATTTTTGAATCCAAGCAGCCTGACCCTACATTCTCCTGCTTTCCAAACTCTAATATGTCTTTCAAATCATCAGTACGATGTTTTTCGTATCATTAGTATGACGGGTCAATTAGCTGTAGCATTATAAGACACACTGTTACAACTAGAGAAAGAGGGAGAGAAAGCATCCTCAACAGGGTCTTGATGCCACTCTCAGTTTCAGCAAGACCCAGATCATGGGCAAATGCATGCCACACATACACAAAGAGATCTTGGGAACCAGCAGTTAGCGTAATGGCTATGTCGCTGGACTCCCACGTAGTCGACCGCGGTTCGTGTCCCGGACCCGGTGGCTTAAAACTCACGCCGGGCGCGTGTGCGTGCGTGCCCAAGATCCCGAGAGGAGAATGGAGGAGAAGGGATTGCGGCGTGACCATCCCCCCTGGGGGGTGATTTCTCGCTTTCTGTCTCTATGTCTCTCTCTGTCTGTCTGGCGAGCGCACGCGCCCTACAGTGAAAATCTCTCCCAAAAAAAAAAAAAAAGAGATCTCCAGATATGGCACAGGAACCTTCCCTGTGTGGGATTGCTATGCAGAGAATGGCGTTTCACCATTGCGCCACCATCTGTCCCCCTTGAAGTAAATTCCTTAAGAGTAGAAGTAGTCCAAGACACTGTGCAAGCAGAAAGCAGTTTGGGAAGAGCAGACACAACTTGGTTTCCAGGGATAACAAAGCATCATCCTCAGGTGGTTGTCTGTCTAGCAGCTGGTTTAAGGGAAATCCTAAACAAAACTGACCACAACTGACAGACATCAGAGTGTGGTTATAACGGCCAGACTAGAATGTTCAAACAGAAAAGAAACTGCCTTCACGAGGACCTGTTAGCAGATAGTCAGGCCCCAGCATTCAGGGGGAAGCTTAGCGTTAGATCACACTCAAAATGATGGAAAGGAGGGAAATGGAAGAAAGGAAGAGCCTGAAAGTCCAGGAGCAGCCCAAGGTCGTACTGTCAGTCCATGGTAACTCTCTTCAGCCTCAACCAAACTTGCTTCTGTTAAACCTAGTTTTCAGCGTAAGAATTTTGAATTTGCAAATACTTTTTCCATACAGTATAAGCTATCTTTGTGTGTGTGAGTTGCACAATGTACTATCGAGAAAACATGTCAGTCAGATTGGTATGATTAGTTCTTTAATCTCCCCTACTGTGTCTGACACCACACTCCTTTATTTGGTCTTGACAGATGAGTGGTATTTACTTGTCGCAACCTCAGGAAAAGCAACTCCACAGTCTTCCTCCATTTTAAATGTCTAGTAAATGTCACTTTCATGAAATTTCCTCATACAAATGTAACAAACCCCTCATATCAGTCTAACTCCAATTTTTATTCTTCAGTAGAGAGGAGAAATGAGAGAAACCGTGCTAATTTAAGCCAATTATGAAACATTTAGCAAGGCATTTTGAATGGCAAAATAGACTCACACTGTCTTATTTTGTATACTGTAATTTTTCAAGTGAATGCGTCTACAGCAGCATCCAAACAAAAGCAAGTGGCAAAACTGACAGCCTCCTCCCTGTACTCAGCATATACAGAGCAGCTCAATTCAACAAGAATCACCTGACTACCTTCTCAGGTCGGCACTGGAGTAATGTGGTGAGTACAAGAAATCACATGACACCAGCCCTAGTCCCTCATGTGCCACCAATTTTAATTACATTCACAAGATGATTACGAGCCAGCTCAGTCTCCTTCGATACTTCCACAGAAAATATATCTTAAAGCTCAAGTTACAATTCTAGCATTAAAGGTCTTCCAAGACTGGGCTCTAGCTTTATCTCCTAGCTTATGCAGTCTGTGTTTCTGCTAAACTGAATGATTGCACCAGCTCAGTCCTCCAAAATAACCTACCTTCAGCTACGTCTCCACACTCTGCGTCATCTGAAGTTGTTTTTGCCTTCAACCTCCATTTCTATCTATCAGAATTTTAATGATCAGGCCAACTCATGGCCTGGTGGTTAAGACAGCTGGGCCCTATACGGCCAACTGTGCAGTTAGAGTTCCAGACCTGGCAGCCTGCCAGACACATCAGGTGCATGAGTGTGCATGCTTAAAATCTCAACCGGAGGGAGAGATGGAGGAGAAGAGACTGAAGCATGACCAAGCCCCATGGTGGGCTTTTGTCTTCCCTCTGTCTCTCCCTTTGTCTGTCTCACTCTAGTGAGTGCATGTACCTTGTGGCAAATTAAAAATAAATAATGATTATTTTAAAATTTGTTATATTTAAGTTATTATTTTAATCACATACATTTTAAAAATACAAAATATTATACTGATTTTAAAATCATACTTCTTTTATATTTTCCTGAAATTTATTGAAACATTTCAGATGTATGTTTGTATCAGTGTCTCTGTTATTAGAACCACTTTTTAAAAAACAGTTGTTTTAATTTTATTTGTATTATTATCATTATTTTAATTTGACCAGAAAAAGACAGAGTGAAAAAGAGAAGGAAAATGAGAAAGCAAGCCATCAAGTCTGAGAATCAAACTGTGGTCAACTATGTGGGAGTCCAGTGTCTTAATCACCATGCCATCTGCCGACCCCTAGAACCACTTTTTAAGTTGTTTTTTCAAAAAATAATTATTTATTAATTTTATGAATTATTATTACTATTGTTATTATTTTCCAGAGAGTGAGAGAGAGAGAGAGAGAGAGAGAGGGAAAGCAAGAAAGCAAGCCAGCAGGTCCAGGATTTGAACCGTGGTTGGCCATGTGGGAATTCAGCACC